GTTTAAGTTACCAAATTTGTCCCTAAATGTTTTTTATAAGAGTGCTATGCGATAAAAGGAAAATACTTGAGAGAAAGTCAGCGCTGATACTGATGTCTGGACACGTTGTAACAAGGTGCTCCACTGATGTCAGCTCAGCCCTCTTTGATGCTCCTTTGCTCATCTTCTTCACCTTCTCCTCAAAAACTGAGCACAATCCCGACTGTCTGTGTTGACACTCCTACGCGTTAGAGGTTACACCAACTAAATAATCAGAATTGCTTCAGTGCATTAGTGCTGGAAAGTAAGGTTATATATTTAGGAGTCTGGCCTGAGTCGGAGGGGATACCACATTCCTTTAAGATTAAACTAACAAGCCAAAAAACCTGCCCTTTTCTCCGGCACGGGGAAGAACAGGTAAGGCCTTGTGTAGATGCTGTGGCCACGCTCTCACTCACATCGTTACACGCTGAACCCAAACATCCAGGAGGCTCAACACTCCATATTTCCCCGTTATAGAAACACGGGAGTGTGGAAGCAAGGCCGCCTCGGCCTATTTGAAGGCGGGCAACAGGGGAAACGCTGCTATTCAGCCTTTCCTGTGGTTTGCCATATCAGCTCCGCTTTAAGTCATCTTCTGACTTAAACAACTAAAATAAAACATAAATGCCAAGAAGAAAAAAAATGGAGGATGTGAAAAGAAAGAGCAGACTGCTTTATAATACTGGTGTTATGTTTCATTAGGGTGAAGCCGTTCCAAGATAGACCAATTTTTCAAAGTGTTAGGTAGTTACTTCCTCTCTGAGGGCTTATATCGGATAACGGTAATTCACCCAGCTTGATGCTATTGAAATGGATGAGTGGCTGCAGGATCTTGTTAAGTGTGAAAATAGCACAGCGACGCTTTAAAAGCTTCACTGGTTAACGCAATGGCATTAAGCTACCCGGTAATTATGGTGCATTTAAAAATCATAGCTATGTGCAGAATGAGTTTGCAACGCTATCCAAAAATACGCACCAATTTGGCTCTCATCTCGCCAAAACACCAACGGGATATTGAACATTTGCACTGATTTATAGCAAGCGAGGCGTTAGCACTTTTTTTAAGCAAGCGTTCAAATGTTTATTGGCCCTTTAAGGAGATTGTTTTTGAGTCTAATGTCAATGCTTTGAATAGGCAGAACCCTACGATAAGCACTCAGCTGGCAGGTTACCTTATCATAATAGTGTAATTAGCCCCAGAGCGACTGAATATTAGGACAGAACAAGAGATAATATACAGTGCACTGTGAGTATTTACACTGAGTTCTACATTTGTTGTTGCAGTCTGCATATTACAGAGATGAGAGTAATCTCCCTCATTTCACTGCTTTATTTTGAAAGTAGTGAAGCAGACATTGTACCACATCGAGACCACAAAGCACAGCGATTCACAGCAAAGACACCGCATTTATAATTTCAGAAAGCAGCAGAGGCTTTCTCAACGTTCGTTCCCTTTTAGTAAAGTATATCAACCCTTTATTATTTTTTAAAATGACAGAAAACTCTCCACAACTTTCACATCACACTCGATTTTCAGACCGTAAAAATCACAGCTTACGTTATTCCCACGACGCTTTCATTTAGACTTTAATAACAGCCTAAAGTCTATTTTTGGGCACAATCAGCCTCACATTCACAGTACATTTGAGTGAATTACACACCAATTAATCTATCTTTGATTAAACCCCGATCACATTAACGCTCCCCGATTACCCCGAGGAATCATGTAGGCTAATGTAAACCATCAGCACTAATAAGTTCTAATAGCTGGCGCAGCTCGCAAACACAAACAGCGCTATTTTACTCCATCAATATGACCGTGCTGGGATTAAATAGCATGTTTGCCTCAGAGGTACAATTAAGCGATGCTAAATAGAGTTCCTTTGAGCCTGGAGTTAAGGGAAGAGTCTCCGCTGCACAGTAGCAGCCAGTGAAGCCCTCACATCGTCCTCCCCCCACTCCCCCGACCCATCCCCCGGCATTTTCAAATTACCTATTGATGAGTGGGCTTCACGTCTCTCCACGGGTGGATGAGGGGGTGGGAGGGGTGAGGCGAACGGGTGGGAGGTGGTGGTGGTGGTGCGGTGGGATGTCTGGTTCACTTTTAAGACGTCTCCAAGAAGCAGGCCTGTGGTTAGATCTAAGGCAACACTTATGCAACAGAAGCTCCCTTTCTCAAATACATATATACGGTTTCCCTGCAAATTATCCGAGATTTTCTTCGGGGGGGAAAGTTTTCCGCCTGGAGTTTTCAGATATTTACCCACATCGTCCCCGCTTTCTTTCTTTTGATGTTGTTGATTCGGGTCCGTCTGTGTGTAAGCACTTCTGTTTCCCCCCCCTCTTGACTGCGACTGCACGGCTTTGCCGAACGATAATTGCTCCCATGACTTAATTGTCTATATGTAATTAAGTTTGTAATAGAGAAAAGAGGCACTTAAATGTTCCCCGGAGAGGCACGGTGGCTGAGTGGGTGCCACACATGTTGAAGATTATTCTGCCCTCTCCATCTGATCTGCCAGTATGAGGAGTTATAAAAAAAATGTATTCAAAGCAATTAAATTAAAATTGCCTCATGTAAATGCCAAGACAAATTTTAATGAGCCCCCTCTACTTTAATTTGGAATATTTGCCCGTTCCCTCAAGTCAGCTCAATTTATCGCTGCATGGGAATGTAGGCTCGACTCTAAATTAAAAATGTCCTTAATGAACACAAATATACAGACGGATGGAGTAATGTGGCTTTCTAACTACAAAAACAGTATTTTGTGCTCTCGGCAAACCGGCTGACGCTGGGCAAAATGATCCAGGAGAAACACGGGAGCGGGGGGACTTGAAGAAAATATGTAAAATCAACAAAAGTCAACGCTCCAGCTCTCTTTATATCCACTTCATGCATTTTAAGTTCACAGGAACTGATAAGGATGCTTACAGATGTAAATATTTATGCCACAAAATCCACGTTTTACGTTCTTATGCAAGTCAAATGAGTTCAACGTTACTTTTTCCCCTTCCTTTTTTTGTTTGGCTAAAGCAAAAAAATATCCAGGGTGCCATTCCTAATTTTTGGCCAGTTCAGATGCAGCGCAGTACACTACATTTATTTATTCAGAATTATAAATACAACAGAAAGAACTGGTGGTCTTGCAAAATCACACCGTGCCGTCAGGGGGGCTTTTTGTGGTTGCACTGACAGATTTACTGCCCAGATGTTCATAAACAGGGGCAAAGTCAATGAGGCGTGGCACGGCATCAATCAGCAAACCTTGATGTCTGAGAACTGATCAGGGATTATCATCCTTATGGGGTGTCTTCTCTACCTGAGCATCTGCACACATCTGCTCTTCTCTCTTCACCGTCTGCCTCTCCCACGGCGTGCTTTCAATTTCCTGCACTGCTGCTCCTCTCTTCTCCTGCGCTCCGACCCCCTCCACCGCCCTCCCCCCCCCCGAGACACGGCGAAAGGTCAGGGGGTTAACATGGTAATAGGTGGTGGTGATTGGTAGAAGACGCTCACTCTCTCCCAGCTTTCAGAGTGTATTAGGAGCCACCCTGCTTCTGTGCGGAGCGGGAGCCCAGAAGAACAGCTGTGTCTGACCACCGAGCGACTTCTTAAAAACATCTTTTAAACATTTGATTTGGACAAGACGAGCGGGAGGCTATGGACCGGAGCGGGAGGCAGGAGGGCGGCGGGTTGTGGGGGGGGGGAGAGGAGGAGGTCGTCTATTAAGCTGAGCCTGTCTATTTCTTGTGTCGCAAGGGAAGGAAAATGTTTGTTTAAATTTGAAAATTCATCTTGTAAACCATTTATTTTGCTGATTGAATTAGACTGTGTAAAGAAGCTGTCACAGTACAATAGAGCAAACCCAAAACACAGGCTGCAGCCTGGAGAACGCAAGCTGGCCTTCACAGGTAGTTGAAAATCATTAGGTTGTCACTGCTACCGTTCACAGGTTTTTGGATTTGTTTTGCTTCTACTTCCATATAGATCCACTTCAGGAAGGAGGCACAATCTTGTATTTATTTGGAAGATATGATATTAAGAATATATATTATTAGATATTAGATCATCACATTAAGAATAACGTAATTATTTCTTTGGTTGTAAAAGTGCAAATTAAGAGCTTCTTACACACACGAAAGACATTTCATCTTTTTATCCGTTTGTGTAGAAGTGAATAAAGTCAAACACAATCACTGTGATACGTTTACATTAATCATTACAGACTTAAGCACCGAATTCATAGAAAGGAAGTCAGCATGGATCAACTTCGTGTTCAATCTGGATTTATGTCTGTCGAGTAAATGCTCCCTGGAGCCTGCAGAAATCGACACCGATTAATTAACGACAGCAGCGCAACTAAACAATTTCAGGAAGCGATTACAGATCTTTCTTGGCAAACTAATCAATACTTCTTCTCTATGCGCAAGCACAGGCGCCCAACACACACAGCCCAGTAATCCCCCACATCTTGTTCCAATGCTCCACTGTAAACTCCCTTGTGCAGCGTCTGTTTACGTCTGTCAAAAGTATCACCCGTGCCTTTGTTTTTGGTTCCGCAATGGCATCGCTTTGTAAATCTAAGGGTATGTTGCACAAACATATCATCTCCCTCTTTGGAAAATATTTATAAACATCACATAGAATAAATACTGGAATCTCTATGGGCAGATTTTCTTTTCTTGTTGGTTTTTTTTTGGGTGCACAAAGAAAAAAGAGAAAAAGCCTTGATGATAGTTGGGTGTTTCGTCCGCCACAAAAGCTTGGACCTTGACAGCGGGGTCCTCCATGACCTCAGCTGATCCCCTCCACTCGTCTGGACCCAAAACATCAGACCAGTTCCAACATCTTCGCCCGCTTTCCTCGAACCCCATTAATTCCACCACCCAAGCCTCACCACCTGACCCCAAGTCCTTCCTGTGACCCGAGCCCCCCAACCCAATCCAGACACAACAGGGAGCAGGAAAGTGGTACTCACCCCAGAAGAAGTTTTGCTGACATGGTGTCACTGTGCTGAAAAGGCTGTTAGATGCCATAGCTGCCTCTGGTTGCAGCAAGCCCCACTTTTGCTCTTCTGTGGTTTCCTTGACCCTTGACACGTCCTAAACCAAGAGCACGCAGCATGTCATGAAGAAAAAAAAATGGAAAAGCCATCCACAAGACATGCTTTTACATATCAACTATTTGGATGACCACAAGTAACAACCAGGTCTGGTTTTATAGAGGAAAAAAAAAATTGCAGAGACAAATATCGCCTTTGCGGATAGATCAGATGGTGTCGGACTTGCTTGCTTGGCGAGTGTGGTTGGAACGTACTTACTCGCTTAGCGCCGTCCTTGTGACTGGTGCTGGCCCGCGACGATTAACCATTTACACTCCAGGTTGCCCTCAAACACCAACCCCGAGCCGCACGTCTGTGGTTCTGTGGTTGTTTGGGAGGCGAGCAGAGCCCTCACACAACCCAAAAGGCACCAGCTTTAAAACTCGTCTCTTTCCTGCCCTCCATGTGCCGTCACTGGAGAGCCTGGGTCACATGCCCTCTGACGTCATCACGGCACAGCAGTTGAGTTGGGACAGCCTACCGTTGTGGCTTTCTTCCCTCTCCTCTCCTTGGACTTTTTTTTCCTCTACTCTCTGGCTCCCCTCCTCTCTTGCGCGTGGTTCGGCAGCATTTCCAGGCTCTCTGGGGATCGGGGTCTGACGCTCCCATGAGTCAGGAGGCTTCAGTGGGGGCAGCTTGTTCAACCGCCCATGCCTCCTCAGCATATGGGGAGCAGTGCTCTCTCTTGGGTTGGTCTCCCTTCACTCTTTCATCCCCCTCCCTCCTCACTCTCTCTCCTCAAACTCTCTCTCTCCCTGACACTGCTGCTCCTTCCCTCAACTCCTTTAGCAGGCTGCCGTGCTGCTCCTGTCTGCCTCTGAGCAGGGAGAGCTCAGCTTGGTAAGATTTGAGGGTGTGAGTGAGGAGTGAATGGCTGGCTGGCTGGTGGTGTGAGACTGGGTGTGTACGCGCGTGTGTTTGTCTGCAACAGAAAGAATTGGGGAAGAGAGGAAAAAGCTGGACGAGCGCATGTGTGTGAAGGGAAAGCGGAGGTGGTGTGACGCTCTGCTTATTTACCGAGGAGCGTTTCTGAAGAGTCGTCTCGGTGCAGCCTGAATTTGTTCTTTCTCACTCCTTGCACGTTGCTGTGTCACAAACAGTAGTTATGTCACCGCGTTATTACCGTAATAGCCGTGTTTGTGCATGTATGCATCCAAGCTTATACTGAGCTTTCATTGGCTCTCACTGAAGCAGCAGTCAGGGGGGCGATTCCCGTAAGAGGCCATAGATCATGGCCACCTGTCTTTTCTGTAAAAGAGATGTCTTCTAACAGGAGACACACACATACTATCACCCTGCCAAGAACGGCCTGCCAACCTGTAGCGCAGAGCAGGCAGGTCTCGACAATTAACAGTGAATCATCACACGCTCCCCACACACACACACACACACCGATTCCCACACCCTCGCACATCTCAGCACGGTTTGTCTTTTGATCCCTGATCACAGGTGTTTGTTACAACACATCACAAAAACGCAGACGGGGTGTCAGAGGAGAAGCAGAGGAATGTGTGGAATGAAGCTGGCAGTTCAGTCAGGTTTGAAAGTGTTAACAGTATCTTAATCATTCTTTCATTTGCCAGCAGGCATGTGTGACTAAGCAGCAAAGAGTCGAGCAGCTCCTCAGCCTTTTGTCTTTCTGTCTTAGGAGTTGTTTTTGCCAGTTGAAACGTTCTCCCTTTAATTAGCCGTTAGAATAAACCTATCAAATGCTTATAATTTATGAGATGATAGCCATTCATGTAGGTAATTTTGCTTTTATGTGACAGTTTCTTTTAATATTCTACCTAGGTATTGTTACCTGTGCCAATATACACTGGAGAACAGTCAACTTTTATTTGTGCGGCTCACCACATTCATTCATTAAACCTACAAAGAAACAAAAAGAAGCAATAAACATAATAAGAGATGCCACAGCTACTATGGAAAATACTCTTGTTGTGAGTGAAGATTATTGGGGGTGTTTCTTAATAGAAATGATACAAAGCAGCTCCAATGATCCAATGACACTGGGTTCTGTGGGTTGTTCATGCTACTTGTGATTTAAGAAAAATAATATATAATTCAGGCCCTGCTAATAATGTATGTGTCGATTGTAATGTATCCATACTGCTCCTGGTTTGGCAGGAGAAAATCACTCTCTATACACACAGATACACATTTTAGAAACAAATTAGAATAAGTGGTTTTTTTTATTTAATAGTCTGCTTTTAAATACTATATTAAAAATAGACAGCACATTAAAATTTGGGTGTTTTTAAAAAAACATATAAAATAGCATTTAAATACCATGCTTAAGCAACAGTCATGAACAATTTAGATCAAAGCCAAAGTCCACAATAAACAAATGTATCACTGTATCTCAAAAAAAGACCTAAACACACAGTCAACAAATCAATTAACACTACTGTGTAAAAACTAAGCATACTGTCATATTCTAGCAATTGAGTCTGAGCCCTTTTTGTTTCAAATACTACTACTAATATGTCAAACATAAATTATAACACCACTCCCCCTCCCCGAGAGGCACAACAGCATTTCCACAAGTCTTTGCCACCGACCTTATTTTCGTACAGCGAAACATTTTCCTTGGCGCGGTGCTTTGTAAATATTTGCTGTCTAAAACAAGAACATGCCTCTTGAGTTGCAGCGCATGTTACAGTATCCTTAGGGAAGGGCCATTCAGATCCTGCAAACACACCGACTATCACAGACAGTACCTGTTTCCGTGGCGAGATTTAATCGATCGTGTCATCCGTGCAGTTTACATTCACTCGAAATAGAAAATATTTAAAACCCCCAGAAGCAGCCTTCTGCAGTTGTTAGACGTTCTAAGTTTCAGATCACAGCAGTGCAGCAGCAAAGACAGACGCTTGCAGATCTGGATCAGTTTAGTGCTCGATACTTTAAGTATTTCAAGAATAATATTTAAGGTTATGTATAAACATTTTTAGGGTTACTGCAAATGGATGCTTTTCCGTCAGAAGTATTAAACTTTAGGACAGAGTCCAGCACCACCGAGTGCTGCTGAGCCACAGTAAATTGCACGCAGTTTGATGGGGATATAATTTGCACATCGTGATTGAATCTAAAACATGGAACGAAAAGTAAAGCATAAATGTCAAGCCCCACTCACATGGCAGGAAACATAACTTCTTGGGTGGCACGGCATGTGATAAACAACCTTGATGGCGAAAATCTGAACTGTGATGATGCTGTAGTGTCAGATATCTTGCATGAATTCTGTCCGGGCTGCACAGATTTCAACTTTGCAGATGCCCCCCCCCCCATACAGCAGCAAAGATTCGTTGAAGTCGGCCCATCTCGCTGTCAGGTCAGAGGTTCACACACCTTATGAAAAACCACTGTGCACTTTTCCAGCACTGAAACTGCTGGTCTTCAAATCTGAAGATTTAACTCCCTCTAGATCAAATCCAGAAGACATCCAAATGAAAGGTTCTGACTTTGTTGGTATAAGAATTGTTTTTGGAACTTTGTGCAGTTCAGCAAAGCTCACTTGAAAAGCTATTCTTCGGATTTAAGTCGGCTTGATTGGAAGAATTTTTCTTTGGAAATTATGTTGACGAGAGAAGAGCCAAACACGGCAAAACCCATCCATGCTGGTATTTAGAGCTCATAAAAACACTGTTTTTATGTATTTATATATTTTGCACATCCAGGCCTATGTATAAATGTATAAATGCAGTAAAAGGAAATACTTAAGTGTACCTCGTCGCTTGGGGGTGTGCTAACAGTTTGAAGCTTTATTCTGTAACATTCGTACATCTTGCTGTCAAAAAAAAAAAAAAAAAATTATGTGCAGGTAATAATGTTAAAGGCTGAAATATAATGTGGAATATAATATTTCATTCATTACTGGTTCTCCACTGGTGGCCGTACACTAAGCTTGCTATACTTGTGTGCGGCGCTGAAGAGCTTGGCCATACTCTGAGCTCTGGCCAAGGTCTGCCCTGAGGACTGTGGTTGATGGCCCACCCTGCCAGACACTTTCCCTCTTCTACCACTCAGGACCACACACCTTCAAATGGACTCGCTTTGTTATCACAAGCTCTCGCAGACACATAATAGAGGTATCGTGTGTTGGAGCGCGCTTAAAAAACGACACATGCTATTAACGCAGCATGTGTGTAATGCAGTGCTGCTGTTTCCTCGCTCTGTCACAGCAGATGACCTTCGCAGATGACTGTTTTCAAAGAAAATTATTTCTGAAAAATATTGGGGGATAATGATACCTAAGATGGGTTAAAATGAACTCCGGCAGAGGCTGTCTGTATTCGTCTCGTCGCGAAAGCTAAAAATGACGTGACATAATTAGCCCGGAGCGAGACATTACACACACGGACGGATTACAGTATTAGAAAAGGAAGGGCTTATTAATAGCCCCGTTGGCTCGTGTTGTGTACTCTCTCTGGCGAGGCATCAGAACGGCCCGGTCGGGCAAACAGGCAGGTACAGTGATTCACTTTAACAGGCGACATCTGTAAAACGCCAAGGTAGTTTACACTGCGGCCGGGCCCGAATTAACGTGCTTTCGTTGGAAACAAACACCACTTGCAATCAGCTTCTGTTGGCCACCGCGCCACTGGTGTGAACGTAAATACCCCCTTACGCTGCTGCTGAGGCAGAACGGTGACCTGAAGCAACAGAATAAAGCGAGCGCCACGCAGAGGTTCGCTTCAACGGGATCCAAAACTCATGGAAGTGAAAAACTTAATCTATCACGCCGTTTCGCCAAGAGGATGTTGATGTTCTTTGTGAATTGTTTGGTGAAGTACGGTATGGTATAATCTTAATGAAAAGTAGATATTTTTCTTTTGGAGTCCAGCAGCGGTATCTACATCTTCCAGTGACTTAAGGACCTTTCTTGTGGTGTCTGGACAGCTGTTTTTGGAGTCACAGCTATGAGGGAAAATAAAGTCGGCCTTTAAGTAATAAGGGGAAATGTTTAATATCGAATGGCGCGCGCACAACCTAAACACACATTAAAAATAGCTCTTGGAGTTGTGATTACATAAAATTGCAAAAAAGGAGAAAGTCAGATCACTGGTGGAGGCTGCGATGAGGAGGCTGTGGCTGACCACCGAGAGACTGAGCCATTTCTTCTTTTTTTCCCCCCTTCTTCCATTCCTCATTTTAATCAAGGGCCAGTCCAGGATAAACAGTGCCTACCTACACTGCAGTTCAAACAGCGAGGCCCGCTGAGACCCAAGCGATGATTTCTAAATGTTCACTGACAAGTTGGTTTAATTTGTGTGCTAAGTAGATGGAGTTTGACTTATATATATCTTCCTTACTCTGGCGTGCATACCAGTCTCCCGCTATTTCTCCACCTCTGTGAAACTTCATGGTGCTTTTTGTATGAAAAGCATACTGGTCCTCCACAAATCCTGCTGTCTGGTTTATATATGCCATGCTGTGTTAAAGGTGAGGACAGGTCCCGCCGCTGAGGCCTGAAATGAAACTTACAGCAGCTTCTTCAGACCAAAGACCATGACTGAGGACCTTGGTGATGCTCCTGCTTCTACTCTATTCAGATTTTCTCTACAGTCCGCGTCCACTGAGACCGGTACAGTATAGTTGTGGCCGCCTGAAACCCTGTCATTGTGTGGTCAGTTGTCAACAGCTGAGAGATTTTACTATTGCTGCTAAGGCCAAGGTTGACAGAGTTCAAGTGGCTGAACTGCTAAGTCAGCATTATAATTACAATGCACCGATGATACAACTGTACGGCAACAAGGCCCGGGAGTCACATGACGCCCCCGGTCACATGATGTCGTCACTCCAGGCAAATGTCAATAACAGAAATGACTGTGTGTCATTCATCTCGTGCGCTAGGAAGAATAAATTAACTCTGCGCTGGCCGTGACTCAAATCTGGGGGTGACAACAGCCAATCCCAACCTGAATGAGCTTTCAGATGAGCTGCCGATTATGACTCTCACAAACTCAGTTTACTTGTTGAGGAGAACAAAGTGTGCCTGATAAAGGCAGACAGTGCTCTAGAGAAACAAGCTATTATGAGGAGGAGTTCGGTGCTGTGTCACTGACAATGCAGCAAACAAAAGGCTCTGTTGTCTTCTCCAGCCGGTGGGTTATTTTTTTCTTTTTTATTTTTGTGGGGCTTTTGTGATGGATAATTGCCCTCATCACATGATTTCATAACGCTGTGACTCGTCTTTCAGTCCCCATGTAAGACAATAACAAGATAAAAAAAAACAAAACGGGGGGAGGCGTAGGGAGGTCTAAATCTGAATTTTTGACATTGTTAGAAGTGGCCGCTTTTCTTCCTTGTGGTGTATAATTTTAGAAAGATGTACGAGCAGGACGCTGACTTGAACCAGTCATAATACAGCCTGGAGCACAGGCACACAGGCCAGCTCCCAGAGTTCACTGGCGGCATTGTCTTGGGATAATCACACAACTGTACCATAGTTTATGGCCTTACATCTTATTTATATATCAGAATATCAAATTCAAATCATATGGGGCTACTCCAAAGCCACGCTAACCTAGATTTATAACGACAAAAAGAACGCTGTCACGGTGTTTAGGATTGTACACATTTTCCTATTTTATTAACAATAAAACAGTAGAACAATGAGCACTGTTTCGGTTTCGGGATTTAAAAGGTGATATTTATCACCTGCATCTCTTGTAAGATTAATGTTTCCGTCTTGCTGACAGTATTATGCTAAAGTCTGCTGAAACCCAGTACAAATGAGTGTCTGTGTTTCTACCCCAAGGACTGGGCTGAACTGTAAACATTGTTCTCCACACAAAGCCGACTGTACGTGCACAGCGGTAACCCCCGGGGCATTGTCTATTAGATGTTTGGTAGGTATGCAATCCTCCTTCTGA